CAGGTGTCTTCTCCAAGAGCTGTCTTGCTTGGATTTGGGATGCAAACAGTGGAAAATATCTGGGTAACAGCCCCTTTGCTGGGAAATATTTTGGTTATCACCAAAAAAAGCTTTGGTTTGTTTGCTAGAAAATATTTAGACGGTGACCAAACCCAATGGGGGGATTTCTGTCCAAATAGTGAAAGCAGGAGCAGGTAGGACAGCTCTGGGGAACACCTCGGAGCAAAGCAGAGAAGGAACCTGGGAACCACCTTGGAGGGAATGAGAGGAGGAACTGGGGACCATCCTGGAGGGAATGAGAGGAGGAATCTGGGACCACCTTGGAGAAAACCAGAGGAGGAACCTGGAGAACATCATTGAAAAAGGAAGAGAAGGAACCTGAGGATCACCTTGGAGGAAATGAGAGGAGGAACCTGGAGAACATCACTGAAAAAGGAAGAGAAGGAACCTTGGAGAAATGAGGGAGAACCTGGGGATCTCCTTGGAGGAAATGAAAGAAGGAACCTGGGGACCACCCTGGAAAAGGCAAGAGAAGGAACCTGGAGACCATCCTGGAGGAAACAAGAGAAGGAACTGGGGATCACCTTGGAGGAAATGAGATGAGAAACCTGAGGACCATCCTGTAAAAATAGAGAGAAGAACCTGGGGATCACCTTGGAGGAAATGAGAGAAGGAACCTGATGACCATCCTGGAGGAAATGAGAGGAAAAACTTGGGACCACCTTGGAGGAAACAAGAGGAGGAACCTGGAGAACATCGTGGAAAAACAGAGAGAAGGAACCTGGGGATCATCCTGGAGGAAATAAGAGAAGAACCTGAGGACCATCCTGGAGAAAACAAGAGAAGGAACTGGGGATGCCCTTGGAGGAAATGAGATGAGAAACCTGAGGACCATCCTGGAGGAAATGAGATGAGGAACTTGAGGACCACCTTGGAAAAATGGAGAGAAGGAACCTGATGACCATGCTGGAGGAAACTGGGGACCACCTTGGAGGAAATGAGAGAAGGAACTGGGCATCACCCAAGAGGAAACGAGAGGAGGAGCCTGGGGACCACCTTGGAGGAAATGAGAAGGAACCTGAGGACCATCCTGGAGGAAATGTAAGAAGGAACCAGGGGACCATCCTGGAAAAGGCAAGAGAAGGAACTTGGAGAAATGAGGGAGAACCTGGGCATCATCCTGGAGGAAATGAGAGAAGAAGCTGAGGACCATCCTGGAGGAAACAAGAGAAGGAACTGGGGATCACCTTGGAGGAAATGAGAGGATGAACTGGAGAATATCATTGAAACAGGAAGAGAAGGAACCTGGAGACCACCTTGGAGGGAATGAGAGGAGGAACTGGGGACCATCCTGGAGGGAATGAGAGGAGGAACTGGGGACCATCCTGGAGGGAATGAGAGGAGGAACTGGGGACCATCCTGGAGGAAATGAGAGGAGGAACTTGGGACCACCTTGGAGGAAACAAGAGGAGGAACCCGGAGAACATCATTGAAAAAGGAAGAGGAGGAACCTGAGGATCACTTTGAAGGAAATTACAGGAACCTGGGGATCTCCTTGGAGGAAATGAGAGAAGGAACCTGGAGAACATCATTGAAAAAGGAAGAGGAAGAACCTGGAGACCACCTTGGAGGG